GGGGGGAAAAAAAAAAAAAAAAAAAAAAAAAAAAAAAAACAAAAACACACACACACCATTTTCCAACAAGTGGTAACACATTCCTGAGATGCAGCCACCTTTGGGGTGGAGCATAGGGGAACACACACAACACTGCATAGGGATGGGCTCACCCAGTGCCGAGATGCAGCCACTTCTGGGGTGGGGCAGCTGGGGAATAGCCTCACAGCAACCCCACACGGGGATGACTTGCCAGACATGAGATGCAGCCACCTTTCAGGCGAGGCAGCAGCAGTAAGACAAAAGTAGGAAGCAGTTTTACATCGGAAGTGAATTCAGGAGGTGGGACACACCCCTAGATCAGGTCAGAGGCAGAGACAGGCAGAGAAGGTACCTGAGCGGGAGAGGAGAAGCCACAGTGATGTTTCTTCATCAGATCAGAGAATTTCTGCAAAGAAAGCACAAGAAATCACAATACAGACTCCACAGGGCTTAGAAAACCGTGAACATGGGGATGGTTCGCCCGGCACTGAGATGCAGCCACTTCTGGGGCAGGGCAGCTGGGGAACGGCCATAAGACAACGGTGGGAATCAGTTTGGCGGGGAAATGAAGAACTTCCCTGGATGATGTAGGAAGGCTCAGTAGAACCATCCAAGCTGGGATTCTGCTAGGATATAAATACAACCCTAATTCTTAATTAACAGAAATTCAGCAAAAAGGGCTAAGCTTCCACCCCACTCCCTGCAGCGCAGCCCCCTACTGCCACATGGGGGCATGGGGCCAGCACTGACACCCAGGGTAGAGCGCCCCCTACTGAAACCCCATCCCCAGCTGGCCAGTCCCCACCGTTATCCGAGCAGTGAGCTGTGTCCCAGTCAGCAGCGCCCCATGCCGGTCTCTCCACGCGTGTTGACCGGCCGAGCCCACCAGGGTGGTGACATAGTCCCTCAGGCTGTCCCGGAAATCCTCATCCATGTCTGCGAAGGGGAAGGGACATGGCAATGAACCCGGAGCCGGAGCATCCCCCCACGGCCCGTTCCTGGCAGAGACGGAGACGCCCCATCGCGCAGGCTCAGAGCCGCTGTCCCGCGTCCGTTACCTCTCAGGCTTCCCTGGTCCCCAGTCATGATCCGCTTGCCGGGGAAGGGCATCAGGTAACAGCGGCTGCTGCTTCTGCTCAGTGCTTCCAGGGCCTTGGGGTGTTTGCAAGGGGACGTCGCCGCCAGCATCTGCTGGAGCCAGGGGAAATCAGCAAAGTGAGACATCAACAGAGGGAAATACCCCTGGACCCATTCCAGGCTCCTTCGAGCCAGCCAGGCCCTTGCCCTGGGGCCGGATCAGAGCCAACACCCCCCAGAGGGCAAAGGCCCCACGTCCCATTCCCCACACTCACCTGTCGGACGTCTCTCAGATGCTCCTTCCCACCGTCAGTTCCAAGGACCGTGGAGTTGCTCCAATCCCGCACCAGCAGGTCTAGGTGCTGCAGGGGAGACGGGACGATGTCAGGAGGGGAAGGCTGAACCCCTCGGGTGCGGGGCAGGGGGTGGCTGGGGCAGGAACATCCCATGCAGTGGGGTGAGGGGGTTGCATGGGGCAGGGTGCGGGGTGGGAAATGTAATCTCACCTGAATGGACTCCAGCCCGTATTCCTTTCCCACCTCTTCGGCCACGTGCAGAAACATCTGCAGAGCAGAGAGAGCAGGGGGGTGAGTCTGGGGCTGGGATCTCTGGGGCGGGGAGGCAGCGTGTGCCCTGGGGGTAGGTGGGGATGGAAATCCTACCAACAGCCCCCCCACCACCACCACCACCTTCCCAAGTTGCAGCTCCAGCTTGGTCTCGGTCTGTTACCCCAGTCCCACGGTTTTCCCCTTGTGGTGCAGAGACACCTAGTGGCCAAAGAGCAGAACTGCAGGTCAAGGTTCCCCGCTCCCCTGCCCCATGCCAGGGGCTCTGTTTGCCCCCCATGCCCACCAACAGTAGGAACAGAATAGATCAAGATATCAAATACTGAGACTTTCCCAGACTCCGGGCAACACCCATGTTCTCAGTAAGCCACGAGCTCGGGCAGGGGCGAATTCCAGACCCTGGAGCAGCACAGAAGCTGGGCCCTGCTGGATACGGCTCCAGGACTCCTGGGTTCTGTCCCCAGCTCTGGGAGGGGAATGGGGTCTAGTGGGTTAGAGCGGGAGTGGGGCTGGGAGCCAGGACTCCTGGGTTCTATGTCTGGCTGTTCTACAGACTCCCCATTGACCTCAGGCAAGACACTGATTCTCTCTGGGCCTCAGTTTCCCCAGCTGTAGAATGGGCAGACTACCCCATTGGGGCTGTATGAGAACGGCACCACATCCTGCCCTCCTCCCCCTTCACCTCCAGATATGCTAGATCAGGGTCCTTTATCTGGCTGGAAACATTCAGGATCTGCAAGTAATCAGAGAGGACAGGGTTAGATACAGAAACCAGCACGACCCTCCCCCCGCAGCACAGCGCCCCCTAGTGCCAACCTGGGGCATCAGGGCCAGCCCTGGCTGCCAGGGGAGAGTGCCCCCCGCTGAGCCCTGCCCCGCCCCCCGCAGCACAGCGCCCCCTAGTGCCTACCTGGTAGGAGCCAAGCAGAATGGAGAGGGCGGAGAGTTTGATGCTGGTCTCTGTGTCTCTGACAATGTCCATGGAGCCCTCGGTGTCGACCAGCAGCACGGCCACCTGGGGGGGAGCCACGGGCCGGGGTCACACGCCAGCTCCCCACTCTGCCCCCTGCACCGAGTGAGACCCGGGCCCTGGGGGGGGCACTGTATTCCCTGCCTCCCCTCCCGACGGCCCCGGTCACACGAGCCCCCCCCAGCCCCCTGTCTGCTCTGTTCCACCGAGTAGAGATCTGCTGGAGTCACTCACCTCCCCCACCCCATTTCCCCTCCCTCCTCTTCCCACTCACCTGCCCCCACTCGGTGGGGACCCAGAAGGGCTGACTCCAAGCCCACACCCCCTTGGTGACGCTGTGGGCACCAACTCGCCACTCAAACCCCTCCAGGGGCTCCTCCTCCCGGCCCATCCAGGATCCGTCCTTCACATCCTGGGGGGAGGGAGATACGGGGGGAGGGGCAATTAGTGCAGGGGGGCAGGGGGACTGTGGGTATTTTATTAGCAGGCAGGTAGCGTGGGGACCGGCGCGTTGGAAAGATGGACAGGCAGACTCAGGCTGAGACAGATACAAGCACAAACTCGGTGAAGTCTAAACAAACACTCCGTCTAGACGCACACACAGACGAGGGTCTAGACCGACACACAGCTCCCCACTGGGTCAGAGCAGTGGGGGCTGGGAGCTAGGACTCCTGGGTTCTCTCCCCAGCTCTGGGAGAGGAGTGGGGTCTACTGGGTTAGGGCAGTGGGGGGGGCTGGGAGTCAGGACTCCTGGGTTCTCTCCCCGGCTCTGGGAGGGGATCAGGGCTCCACTCACCAGGCTCCGGAGCCGGCGCAGCAGGTAGTTCAGCAGGAAGGATTTGCCCCGGCGCTGCTCCCCAATGATGGACACCAGGCAGACGGGGGCGTCCCCCACTCCACCCTGCTCCAGGCAGCGGCTCAGGACCTCCTCGTCCAGGATCAGGCCCCCTTCCTCGTCCAGACGCACCAGCTGCACCGGGCGCCCCTGCTCTGGCTGAGCCCCCGGCCCCTGCTACAGGGAGAGAGCAGGGTCAGAGCTGGGACCCCACCCCTGAGATGGTGAGTCCCCTGTGCCCTGGATCAGAGCCCAGTACCCCATTCCCATCCCCTGAACCAGCCAGTCCCGCCCTGGGCCAGATCCAAGCCAGTGCCCCCTAGAGGGGAAAGGCCCCATGTCCCATCCTCTCCCCACACACCCAACCTTCCAGGCAGCTAGTCCCCCTCACTGGGGCCCCATGGCTGGAGTCACAGGCTGTTTGCTCCGGGGTTAATTTCTTATCAGCAGATCCGAGCCGTGTGTGCCCAGCTCCCCCCTTATCAGCCCAGGAACTTGACCCCTTTCTAAAGGGACACAGGAATCCCGTTAGCCGGCCTTCCCTCTGACCCCAGGGCCCCAGCGTGGAGTTAGGAGACACTGTGCTGCAGGGAGTGGCCGTGCAGCTGTTCCCCAGCTGCCCCGCCCCAGAGGTGGCTGCATCTCTGGACCAGCCATGGCTGCACCCACCTCAGGGCTCGCTGTCCCCGTTGCTGTCAGCGTTTCTTCACGTGGCAGGTCTCTGATTTTCTCCACCAGGCTTTTGACACGTGTGTCTGGGGTCATCCTGTCCCTGGAGCAGGGAGCTCGGCACTCGGGGCACTGGGACCCCCAGGCCGAGACCCCGCTCCAGTGAGTGGAGAGGCAGCCCCGGCAGAAGTTGTGGCCGCACTCGATGGAGACGGGGTCCTCCAAGATGTCCAGGCAGATGGAGCAGGTGATGTCCTCCTGGAGTCGCTTCACCATCCCCTCTGGAGTTGGCTTTGAGGAGGGGGGTGGGATTGGCCTGGGAGACACACAGCAGGGGGCCTGTGAGCCAGGACTCCTGGGTTCTAGCCCAGCTTGGGGGGGCAGGGGATTGGGGGGGCAGGGGATAGACCAGAGGGGCTGTGAGCCAGGATTCGTGGGTTCTAGCCCCAGCTCTGGACTAGGTTAGACCTGAATTGGGTGGGACTGGAGCACTTACCCTTTATTATTTGCATTTCCCATAACACAGGGGGTGACAGGCCGAGCTCCAGTTGACCGATCTCCCCTCCTCCTGGGCTGGGGCTAAAGCCAAACTCCGCTGGAGAACTGAGACAACAGGACATGAATGGATTAACCCCCTCACACCCCCTGTGCTCAAACAGGAGGGCTGGCAGAGGGGGAAACTGACTCTCAGAGCAGGGATGGGACACACCATGTCTTAATCCCACTTCTTGAGCTCCAAGTCCCCCAGTGCTGTCCTTGTTTACTGGGGACACCCCCCCCATCCCCACTAGCACCCCAATAAATGAGGAAACGCTCTTTAGCCAGCACCTCATGCCACAGCCCCACTGCACCCAGAGGTTCCAGCTCCCAGCTCCCCTCCCAGAGCTGGGAGAGAACCCAGGAGTCCGGGCTCCCAGCCCTCTCTGCTGTAACCCAATAGTCCCCCTCCCCGAGCTGTGGAGAGAACCCAGGAGTCCTGGCTCCCTGGAACTAAACACTACTAATTCCCGACTCTGTTGAAGGAGGAAATCCCGTGTCCCCAGCCGTCACACCTGGGGAGAGCCCGCTGCGATCTGCGCCCCCGTCCGCTCCGCTCGGAGGCGCAGGTGCCCGCGGGCAGCGGGATTTTCAGCCTCTGGGGATTTTTAAAGCAGATCTGGGGATTGGCGGCCGGGCGCGGCTCGCTGCGCTGGTGGGGCCGGGGCCGGGCGCCAGGCAGAGGCCGGGGAGTGGCTGGAATTTACCTTGGGTGCGTCCCAGGTGCCACTGGTTCGAAACCAGCAATTGAGATCTCAGGTGGGGTGTCTGGGTGGGCAGAACAGAGGGGCCGGGGGGTGGGGGACGAACCTGCCCCGTGGGGGGGATAGACTGGAGGGAGCGAGTCTGCCCCCCAGGGATGGTAGTTACCCCCCCTTACCCGCCCCACAGCTCGCTCTGCCAGCGTCCAAGATTTCCACCTAGGGAAACGAAAGTAAAGTCAGGTGATTTCTATTTCCTCATGACCAGCAGCCGGGCTCTGACACCCGAGGAGATTGGCTACCAGGGCGTGGGAGGGGTGTAGCCAGAGGGGAGGATATTAATAGCCACTGGTGGGTGGGGCTGGGAGGGGAGCCAGGACTCCTGGGTTCTCCCTGGCTCTGGGAAGGAAGTGAGGTCTACTGGTTAGAGCAGGGGGGGGTCTGGGAACCAGGATTCCTGGGTTCTCTCCCTGACTCTGGGAAGGGAGTGGGGTCTAGTGGGGGGCGGTCTGGGAACCAGGATTCCTGGGTTCTCTCCCTGGCTCTGGGAAGGGAGTGGGGGTCTAGTGGGTGGGGGGGCCTAGCAGGGCTCAGTATAGACATGAAACTCTTTTCTGCACATTCCCTTACCCCGTGTCCCAGGACAAACCCGTTCAGGTGCCAGCGAGGGGCGGCTGCAGGCCCTGGCTGTGTTCAGCCTGGGGAAGAGAAGGCTGAGCTGGGACGGGAGAACACGGGTCACTCTGGGGAGCGGTTGTGCTCCGTGCCCAGCGAAGGGGGACCAGAAGGAAGCAGCTTGGCTTACAGCAAGGGGCTGGGAATTAGGAAAAACTTTTCTAACTCTCAGGGTAGCTCCGCTCGGGACCAGGCTTCCCGGCAGGTTGTGGGATCCCCGTCGTTGGAGGTTTCTGAGAACAGGTCGGACACACACCGCTCAGGGCTGGGCTAGTTTTGCTTGGCCCTGCCTCAGTGCTGGAGGTAGGACTTGATGCCCTCTCCAAGTCCCTTCCAGCCCCACAGATGCTCTTGGAGACACTAAACAGCTTCGTCTCCCACTGCAACGTTTTCACTCCAGCCCCCAGTTCCTTTCTGGGGCTCTTCTCTGCACCCGATTCCCCTCCAAGCCCCACTTCACAGCAAAGTCCCAGGTCTCCAGTGAAAACTCAGCCCTAATGAGTGTTCACCCTGCTGTGGGAGTGTTTGGCCAACGCCTCCCACCCCACTCCATGCGCAACACGGCTCCTCTGTTCTTGCCAGCATCACACGCACCCGCGGCCCGGAGCCCAGGGCAACAATTTGCTGCAAAACTGTTTTATGTTTGATCGCCAGTCGTGGGGATGTAGCATCCCCCTTCAGAAACACATGCAGGGGGCGCTGTGGAGCTGCAGAAGGGGCTACCTGGAAACACACACACCCCCGACACTGCCCACCTCCCAGCCATCCAAGCGCAGCTGCCTTTGGTTTCAATGCCCAAGTCCTGCCCCCTGGAAGCATATTCAGAGCAGCTGCCTCGTCTCCGAGCGATGGGCTCAGGCTCTCCGCAGACTCAGGCAGGTGGGCCGTCACCAGTTGATCTCAAGTGGGCCCATACTGAAGTCCGAATAAAGGTCTAGAAAACACAGCCAACGAGCAGAGCCTGGAAAAAACGGGGTTTTCCACTGCATGCATCCAATGAAGTGGGTTTTAGCCCATAAAAGCTTATACCCAAATACATTTGTTAGTCTCTAAGATGCCACAAGGACTCCTCGTTCCTTTTGCTGATACAGACTAACACGGCCACCCCTCTGAAACCCGGGTTTGCTTTGTCTGGAGAAGAGCCGCCCAAGGGGGGCATATGGGAACACTCGTCAAGTACGTAAAAGATTGTTATAAACAGCAGGGTGAGCAATTGTTTTCCTTAGCCACCGAGGGCAGGACGAGAAGATACAGGCTTAAACTGTAGCCGGAGAGAGGTAGGTTAAACATTAGTTCGATCAAAAGCAGCCCTGACGCACTGGTCTAGCCCTCTGCCCTGTGTGCACGTAACTCGGTCTTCTAATCTCTGGCCCTTCTGAAAAATTGGGAGTGGGGGGGAATTATCATTTTGGGTTGATCTGAAATGAACATTTTTCCCCCCAAAAAAGCCCCAAAACTCCAGGGGAAAAATTGTTTCTGGTCAAATGAAACTTTTCTTTTGGAGAAGAATTGAATCAGAAAAAAATCAAACCATTTCAAGCTTTGGGAGGGATCCCCCCTCCCCCCCCTTGATTGAAAGAATTTGACACCAAGCCCTGAAAGGTTTCAGTCAAGCCAAATCTACATTGATCGGCCTTCAAACTTTCACCCAGTGCTGGCTGAAGCTCAGTGAGGAAGGAGGTCTCTGCTCCCATCTACTAGTGAAGCGGAGGAAGGGCTGGCACGGACCAGGCCTCATTTGCACCGTGGTTACCCCCAGCATTCGAGAGTCCATGTTTTGGTCTTTGGGTTAAAATGCATTGAAGTTTTGGGTGCGAGGCAAATGAAATTGTGGCCATTCTTATTGTGGGATAAAAGCGCAACAGGGCTGTGGTTTATATGTCCTGAGTGAGGGAGCTCACCCTAAGCGAAACTTCTAGCGCCGAGCAGTGGGCAGTGGAGGTTGAGCATAGACCAGAGAGCTGAGAACTGTATTTTCTGATATGGGGAGAAGGACCTGGAGATGGACCTCCTGAGATCACGCCCAGATGCTGGAATTCCACTCCCCCAGCCTGTGAGTGGGGTGTAACAAAGTGGGGACCTGGAAGATCCTGTGGTGGGGGGTGTCTTACTTCACACTGTTTGCTAGGGAAACTGAGAGGCAGGACTGTTCCTCGAGATCTAATGGGGTAGGGTGTTTCCCTTACTGGTTACACATACACATTGTGGACTGGTCATTGCTACATATGCCCAAATTAATGCTCATGAGACAAGCCGTTTACCAGGTTTGGCTAGAAATCCTTTTAGCCTGGAACCAGCACTTCTCCCAGTTCAGTCTTTGTTCCTCAGGTGTTTCCGGGAGTGTCCTTGCATGGGGAGTGAGGCCACTTGATGATGTCACACACACACTTATATAGCTTTAACATATGGCGGGAATCCTTTGTCCAAAAACAGTTCCCAGCCCAGTTTGTGGGAAAATGCAGGTATCACGATGGAGGTCAGTGTCACGTGGGCTGAAATACAGAGCCATAGTCAATATTCATAACGTTAGACACAAAAACGATACAGGCCCACAAAGAGGATAATCCTATTCAGCAACTGCGAGCAGCGGCACCGGAGGCAGCAAACAGGGCGGCTAACAGGGGAGTTTGAGAGGGAGTTTGCAGGGGGAGGTAAGGGGGGAGGCAGGAGGGCGCGGTGTGGTGTGTGCTCCGAGTCCACAGGTGCCGCGGGCAGAGATTGCAGCAGCCATGAGCCAAGCAGCAGCAGCAGACAGAATGCAGATGGCCGCATGTGGAAGCTGTGGTATGTATATGGTCCTGGCA